GCTAACCACTAAGCCACTATGCCATCCCTCCTTGGTATGGTGCTGAGCAACTTCAGACGATTTTGTTTTCCTGGAGATCTGGCAATAGAACGAGAGAAAAGGTGCGTAGAAATATACTGATGAGGAGCAAGGCTGGTCCACTCAGCCCCTCAAGCCTACTCCCCCATCCCATAAGATCAAAGCTGATCTGATTTTACCCTCAATTCTACATTCCCTGCATATCCTCGATAAATTTCATCGCCTTTGTCATTAAAAATCTACTTCTGCCTTCAAAATATTTAACATTTCAGCATCCACTCCCTTAAGGAAGGAAATTCCAAACCTTTTGAAAAATAAAGTTTCCTCATCAATGTTTTAAACGGACACCCCCTTATTTTCAAACTATGACTCCTTGGTCTAGATTGTCCCACAAGATCTTTCAACATTCAACTGGTCAAATCTCCTGAGGTTATACAGCACTTGGGTGAGGCCTTTTCTGGAGTAATGTGCGTAGTTCCAATCACCCTGTTATAGGAAGAATATTTTTAAGCGAGAGAGGGTTCAGAAAAGATTTACCAGGATGTTGCCAGGGATGGAGGGCTTGACATATAAAAATAGACTGGAAAGACTGGGACTTTTTTCACTGGAGCATAGGAGTTTGAGGGGTGACCATATTGAGGACCATGAGGGGTGAATGAATAGTGTCTTTTCCCTAGGATGGGTGAGTTCAAAACTAGGGGGCATACTTTTAAGGTGAGGGTAGAAAGATTTATAAAGGACATGAGGGACAACTTTTTTTACACAGAGGGAGTGGTTCGTGCGTGGAACAAACTGCCAGATAAAGGGGAGGATGTGGATACAGCTACAATGTGTAAAAGACAACGAAACAGAAGTTGCTGGAAAAGCTCAGTAGGTCTGGCAGCATCTGTGAAGAAAAAGAAGCAGAGTTAAAGGATCCGGGTAAGTTCTGAGGAAGGGTCACCGGACCCGAAACGTTAACTCTGACTTTTTTTTTCTTCACAGATGCTGCCAGACCTGCTGAGCTTTTCCAACAACTTCTGTTTTTGTTCCTGATTTATAGCATCCACAGTTCTTTCGATTTTTTATTTAATGTTTAAAAGACATTTGGATAAGTACATGATTAGGAAAGGATTAGAGGGATGTAGGCCAATTGGGCCTACTTTGGTTTGTGAATATGGTCAGCATGGACTGGTTGGACTGTTTCTGTGTTGTATGAGTGGATGACTCAGGTCCTTACATATTTTAATTAAGTCATGCTTGACTCCTCCAGTCTCCCTGTAGGACCCTGGAGAATTTAATAGGAAATAGATCGAGGCGTAGAGGTTCATTGCTCCTTGAAAGTGGAGTCACAGATAGACAGGTTGTTGAAGAAAGCTTTCGACATGCTTGTTTTCATTGGTCAGAGCACTAAGTACAGGAGTTGGGACATTATGCTGCAGCTGTACAAGACATTAGTAAGGCCACTTTAGGAGTACTGTGTTAAGTTCTGCCCACCCTGCTATAGAAAGGATATTATTAAACTAGAAGGAGTTCAAAAAAGATTTACTAGGATGCTACCTGGACTGGAAGGTTTGAGTTATAGGGAGAAGCTGGATAGGTCAGGACCTTTGCTCCCTGGAGTGTAAGAGACTGAAGGGTGATCTTATAAAGGTCAAAAAAACCTTGAGAGGCATAGATAAGGTAGATATCCAACAGCGTTTCTCCATGGTAGGGGAGTCTAAAACTAGAAGACATAGGTTTAAGGTGAGAGGAGAGAGATACAAAAGAACATAGAACATAGAACATAGAACATTACAGCGCAGTACAGGCCCTTCGGCCTCGATGTTGTGCCGACCTGTGAAACCAATCTGAAGCCCATCTAACCTAAACTATTCCATTATCATCCATATGTTTATCCAATGACCATTTAAATGCCCTTAAAGTGGGCGAGTCTACTATTTTTGCAGGCAGGGCATTCCACGCCCTTACTACTCTCTGAGTAAAGAACCTACCTCTGACATCTGTCCTATATCTATCACCGCTCAATTTAAAGCTATGTCCCCTCGTGCTAGCCATCACCATCCGAGGAAAAAGGCTCCCACTGTCCACCCTATCTAATCCTCTGATCATCTTGTATGTCACTATCAAGTCACCTCTTAACCTTCTTCTCTCTAACGAAAACAGCCTCAAAACCCTCAGCCTTTCCTCATAAGACCTTCCCTCCATACCAGGCAACATCCTGGTAAATCTCCTCTGCACCCTTTCCAATGCTTCCACATCCTTCCTATAATGCGGTGACCAGAACTGTACGCAATACTCCAAGTGCGGCCGCACCAGAGTTTTGTACAGCTGCAACATGACATCATGGCTCCGAAACTCAATCCCTCTACCAATAAAACCTAACATACTGCACGCCTTCTTAACAACGCTATCAACCTGGGTGGCAACTTTCAGTGATCGATGCACATGGACACTGAGATCTTTCTGCTCATCCACACTACCAAGAATCTTACCATTAGCCCAGTACTCTGTATTCCTGTTACTCCTTCCAAAGTGAATCACCTCACACTTTTCCGCATTAAGCTCCATTTGCCACCTCTCAGCCCACCTCTGCAGCTTATCTATGTCCCTCTGTAACCTACAACATCCTTCTGCACTATCCACAACTCCACCGACTTTGGTGTCATCCGCAAATTTACTGACCCATCCTTCTACGCCCTCATCCAGGTCATTTATAAAAATGACAAACAGCAGTGGCCCCAAAACAGATCCTTGAGGTACACCACTAGTAACTGAACTCCAGGATGAACATTTCCCATCAACCACCACCCTCTGTCTTCTTACAGTTAGCCAATTTCTGATCCAAATCGCTAATTCACCCTCAATCCCATGCCTCTGTATTTTCTGCTATAGCCTACCATGGGGAACCTTATCAAACGCTTTACTGAAATCCAAATACACCGCATCAACCGCTTTACCCTCATCCACCTGTTTGGTCACCTTCTCGAAGAACTCAATAAGGTTTGTGAAGCACGACCTACCCTTCACAAAACCGTGTTGACTATCCCTAATCAAATTATTCCTTTCTAGATGATTATAAATCCTATCTCTTATATTCCTTTCCAACACTTTACCCACAACCGAAGTAAGGCTCACTGGTCTATAATTACCAGGGTTGTCTCTACTCCCCTTCTTGAACAAGGGGACAACATTTGCTAGTCTCCAGTCTTCTGGCACTATTCCTGTAGACAATGACGACATAAAGATCAAAGCCAAAGGCTCTGCAATCTCCTCTCTAGCTTCCCAGAGAATCCTAGGATAAATCCCATCTGGCCCAGGGGACTTATCTATTTTCACACCTTCCAGAATTGCTAACACCTCCTCCTTATGAACCTCAATCCCGTCTAGTCTAATAGACTGTATCTCAGTATTCTCCTCGACTACATTGTCTTTTTCCTGTGTGAATACTGACGAAAAATATTCATTTAGCACCTCTCCTATCTCTTCGGACTCCACGCACAACTTTTTCACTCAGAGGGTGGTGAGTGTCTGGAATGGGCTTGCAGAGGTAGTGGTGGAAGCAAGTACACTTTTGTCGTTTAAGAAACATTTGGAAAGGTACATGGCTGGAATAGATATGGAGGGTTATGGGCCAAACACAGGAGAATGGGACAAGTTTAAATTGTGAAAACTGGGCGGCACGGACAAATTGGGCTGAAGGGTCTGTTTCCATGCTGTAAATCTCTATGACCCTATACAGGCCAAGCCTGTATTATACGGTAATCCATTCATTCTATTCTGAAAGACCATTCGGGCCAATGTGTCTCCACTTATAGATAGACAAACGAGCTGCCCATTGTAAATCTACCTTGTAGCTTACAGCCCTGCATGGGCACATTCAGTTTCCTTTATCAATGAGCTGTTTCTGCACCAACCACAAAACCAGGCAGTGAATTCCAGCTGAGTACTGCTGTCTGGGTGAAGACGTTTCCTCTCACGTTCCTTTTGATCCTTCCACCTTCCATCTGCCTCACCTTGGAATTAATCCCCTCCTCAGTGGAAAACAGGCCTTCTCCCTTACTCCGTCCGAGCCCCTCATCATTTTCTACACCACAAACAAGTTTCCCTCCGGACCCCTCCGTTCGAAGGGGAACAGCCCCGGCTCTGTCCAATAGCTTTGATTTTCAAATCCTCGTAACAGTCTTGTAAAACTCCTCTATACTCTCTCCGGAGCAACGATTGCCCTGAACTGTATACAAAAACCCCAGCCAGTGCCTTATCCAATTCATACTTTGTTACTTTATATCTCATTTAGGGAAACATTCCATGTGCTACTTTCACCAATTTATTTGCCTGTCATGTCCCCTTCAAGGGCCTATGCACCACACAGTCTCTCACATTATCAACCCCTCTCAATTGCCTCCCAACCCATCTCAAACTAACTATAAACATGGCTTGTTGATCCACGTGGAGCTTCTGATGTGATTCTCTCAGTTCCAACCTGACCCTTGACATTGATATGGCCTCCTATTTTTAACAATAACCTATTACCTACCTTTGGCATCCCTTCAGAGCATCAACCTGCCTCCTACTTGAAATCTCATCACTTACCTTGAACTGGGATTCTCATCTTAAACCTGACCTCTTACCCCAGCATGACCTGTAATCTTCCGCCTTACCTCTTATCCCAGCATGACTTCTAACTCCAGCATGACCTCTAACCTTCAAACTAACTTCTAATCCTAGCATGACCTCTAACCTTCAGCATGACCTGCAATCTTTAGCCTGACCTCTCACCCCAGCATGACCTCTGACCTTCAACCAGATCTCTGCCCCCAGCATTACCTGTAATCTTCAACCTGAAGTCTTGCTGCAGCATGACCTCTAATCTTCGACATGTCCTTTAATATTCGACATGACCTCTTACCTTTGAACTGATCACTTATCTTCAATCTGACCTCTGACCTTCAACCAGATCTCTTACCCCAGTCTGGCCTGTAATCTTCAACCTGACCGCTTACCTTCATGCTACTATACCCCTGGGTTGGTGAGGAGGGTGAAGTCTTCCTGATTGGAAAGGGGTTCACAGACTAAGACCAAGCCCAGAAGTCCGCCAGTTCGACCCTTCCTCAATACGTCAATATAGGCTCCATCTGAGGACGGTCGGCCACCGCACTGTTACAACATCCCAGAGAGGGAGGATGAGGAAGAAATAGTTTTTATGCAATGAGTTTTTATGGCCTGGAATGCTGAAAATGATGAAAAGAGCAGCTTCAATCAACAAATTCGAAAGGAATTGAATAAATAACCCAAAGGAAGTAATGTATTGGGGCTAAGATAACAAGCTGTAGAGCTGGATGAACACAGCAGGCCAAGCAGCATCATAGGAGCAGGAAGGCTGACGTTTCGGGCCTAGACCCTTCTTCAGAAATGGGGGAGGGGAAGGGGTTTCTGAAATAAATAGGGAGAGAGGGGGAGGCGGATAGAAGATGGATAGAGAAGAAGATAGGTAGAGAGGAGACAGACAGGTCAAAGAGGCGGGGATGGAGCCAGTAAAGGTGAGTGTAGGTGGGGAGTTAGGGAGGAGATAGGTCAGTCCAGGGAGGATGGACAGGTCAAGGGGGCAGGATGAGGTTAGTAGGTAGAAGATGGGGGTGGGGCTTGAGGTGGGAGGAGGGGATAGGTGGGAGGAAGGACAGGTTAGGGAGCAGGGACGAGCTGGGATGGTTTTGGGATGCGGTAGGGGGAGGGGAGGTTTTGAAGCTTGTGAAGTCCACATTGATACCATTGGGCTGCAGGGTCCCAGGTGGAATATGAGTTGCTGTTCCTGCAACCTTCGGGTGGCATCGTTGTGGCACTGCAGGAGGCCCAGGATGGACATGTGGAATGGGAGGGGGAGTTGAAATGGTTTGCGGCTGGGAGGTGCAGTCGTTTAGTGTGAACCGAGCGTAGAGGTTCTGCAAAGCGGTCCCCAAGCCTCCGCTTGGTTTCCCCAATGTAGAGGAGGCCACAACGGGAACAGCAGATGCAGTATACCACATTAGCAGATGTGCAGGTGAATGTATTGGGATTATGGGTGAAAGGGAAGGTACAATGGGAATAATTGGATAGTCCTCTTTTGAACAGTCAGCATGACACAATGGACCAAAATTGCCTCTTGGCGTGCTGTCTGATAGAGTCATAGAGTAACACAGCATGTAAACAGGCCCTTCGGCCCAAACTGGCCCGTGCTGACCATGGTGGCCAAATTCACCCTGCCTGGGTTTAAGGTGAGACGGGAAAGATTTATAAAATCATGAGGGGCATGGATAGGGTAAACAGACAAGGTATTTTTGCTGGGATGGGGGAGTCCAAACCTAGAGGCTTAAGGTGAGAGGGGAAAGATTTAAAAAGGACCGAAGGAGCAACTTTTTCACTCAGAGGGTGGTGCGTGTATGGAATGAGCTGCCAGAGGAAGTGGTGGAGGCTGGTACAATTACAACATTTAAAACGCATCTGGATGGGTATATGACTAGGAAGGGTTTAGGGAGATATGGCCCAAATGCTGGCAACTGGGATTAGATTAATTTAGACTAACTGGTCAAGACGGACAGAAGAGTCCGATTCATGCTGTACAACTCCATGACTCTGGAATTCTCTCCCTAAACCTTACTATGTAAAATGTGCCTGCAAAATGAGCCCTTTGGCTGGTGTGTGTGTGTGTGTGTGTGTGTGTGTGTGTGTGTGTGTGTGTGTGTGTGTTTGTGTGTGAGTGTGAGTGTGTGTGTGTTTGTGTGTGTGTGCGCGCGTGCGTGCGGGGTTCACCAGCACCCCCACCACCCGACCCCAGGTGTCCTACTGTGGCACAAGGTTCATTTTTGATTTGTCATGCTCCTGCCAGGTGTCTTGGGACAGTAAGTTAAAGGCGCTATATAAATGTAACTCTTGCTGTTTGCGATTTCCGGTCAACAAACCGAGCCCATCTCCTCCCCCAGCCCAAACAGCTCTGATTGGAAACATTGTAAGACTGTTATTGTGGTCCGTGGTAGCACTCTCAGGTAGTTGGACAGAGAGCTGGTGGTTTCCTGGCCCACTCGCAGGTACTGGAGCAGCTTTTGCAGACAGGACTGTTTGGGGTGGAATCCTGCCAGTTGTGGGCCTGGTCTGACTGCACTTGGCGGAGTAAAACCGACAGGGAGAAAAGCAGAATGCTCCTATCACAGATCAGTGTGGGATCTTGCTGTGTGCAAAGATGTCTGCTGTCAAATCACAATGCACTGTGCTTTATAAAATGTTAGCTGGCTGCAGAGTTCCCTCGCACGTCTGCCTGGAGCTGGTGATGGGCCGCCATATCACTGTTACCATCAGTCTAGGGTTTGACTGAGTGGGCTGAGCAGACAGGCAGTTGGATGTTTACGAAGAGGGTGTTGGGGGAGGTGAAGAGAGCTGTAATTCCCATTCACTGCTCTCCGCCTCAGCGTGACGGCCTGGAATGAGGACATCTGAATCCTATTAGGAGCTAAGGCAGTTCCGTGACATATGGAGGCATCATCGACATTCCTGCTGCATCACCCAGGGACTCCTCAGGGAAGGCTGCAGAGGATTTGAGAAATCTATCCAGAAATGTATCCTTATCCTCCAGACTGTTCCACTGTGTCTATTAATTATTGTCTGGATCTGTGTATCACTCTCCCCCTTCCCTTACTGTCAGTCTCTCCTGCTCTTGCCCTTTCCCTCACTGCCACTCTCACTCTCTCATTCCTGTTACTGCTCTCTCTGTCTCTTTTCTGCTGTGTCTGCCACTCTCTCTCTCCTTTCTTTCCTGTCTCACCCTTTCTCTCAGTGTCTTCCACACTCTCATTCTGGTTATTCCTCTCCCTGTCTCTCACTTTCTGTCTCCTACTCTCTCTTTCTCTCTCTCAATCTCCATCTCTCTCTGTCTCTCCTGATCTCTGTCACTACCTACAGCTCCACCTTTAACACTATAATTCCAACCAAACTAATCTCCAAACTCCGAGGCCTAGGTCTCTGCTCTAACCACTCCATTTTTCTCGAACATTGCTTCTCACTCACTCTGTTTCGATCACGCACTCTGTCCTCCTGCCCCTCTGTTCTGCTTATCCATTTCTTTGGACCTGTCATTCTTTCAGACAGTCTGACTATCTGTGTCACTATCACTCTTTTCTTCGCTGCCTCTATCTCCCCCTGTGACTTCCTATCTCCATCTTTGCCTCTCTGCCAATGTCTACCCTTCCTTCTTCCTCTCTCTCTCATCTGAACCCCTGTTATCACCCTCTCTATTCTTTGCCTCCCACTTTCACTCTGCTTTGCTCTCTCTCTTTCTCTGCATTCTCTGTCCACTTCTCTCTTTCCTGCAGTCCCTCACTCTATTGTTCAGTCTTTCAGAGTGCTCCATTATGAAGAATGGCCTAGCTCTTTTACTAGCAAGCGCACTTATTCTGTCCCTCAATCCCAGCCTCATGTTGGGATTTTGATTGTCATGGAAAGTAACATGACATGGCTTTGTAACAGAGGCAGAGATCTGTACAATCAGTGGGTCGACACAGGAAGACGTGTGTGATAGATTGCATTTACCATCGCAACAGGCCTACACTCACTACCTGGCCCTACCTCATCATTGGAACATCTGGATAACAAGGATACCTACATCGGACTCCTAATTATTGACTACAGCTCCACCTTCAACACTCTAATTCCAACCAAACTAATCTCCAAACTCCAAGATCTAGGACTCTGCTCCACCCTCTGGCCCTGGATCCTGAACTTTCTGACCCTCAGACTGCAATCAATGACGGTAGGCAACAGCACCTCGCTGTGACAATCTTCACTATCAGTGCCCCGCAAGGCTACATACCCAGGCCCTTACTGTACTCCCTGTGCACTCATGACTGTGTGGCCAAATTTTGTCCTAACTCCACCTACCAGTTTGCTGACAACAGCACCGGATCTCAAACAATGATGACACAGAATACAGGAAAGATATAGAGTGCTTGGTGGCGTGATGTAAAGATAATAATCTCTCCCTCAACGCCAGCAAAACGAAAGAGCTGCTCATTGACTTCAGGAAGCAAGGTGGAGGGCTACATCGATGGTGCTGAGGTGGAGATGATCGAGGCCATCAAGTTCCTGAGAGTGATGATCACCAACAATCTGTCCCGGGCCATCCACATTGATGTGATGGTCAAGAAAGAACAACAAAGCCTCGAATTCCTCAGGAAGCTAAACAAATTCAGCATATCCATGAAGACTCTTACTAATTTTTACAGAAGCACCATTTTATCTGGAAGCATCACAGCTTGGTACGGCAGCTGCTCTGCCCAGGACTATAGAGAGTTGTGAACACAGCCCAGTCCATCACGTAAACCAACCTCCCATCCATGGACTCCATTTACACTTCTCGCTGCCTTGGAAAGGCAGCCATCATTATCAAAGTCCCCTCCCGTCCCGGTTATAATCTCTTCCCACCTCGTCCGTCAGGCAGAAGATACAAAAGCTTAGACACATATACCAACACCTTCAAGAATAACTTCTTCCTCACTATTATCAGACTTCTGAATGGACCTATATAATTTTAAATTTAATGTTGACCCCTTTCTTGTGCACCTTCCCTGCAGCCTTGACATTGTATTCCTTGCTCTGTTCTATCACCTTAATGTACTTTGTATGGTAAGATCTGCCTGTACTGCTTGCAAAATAAAACTTTTCACTGTACCCAGGTACATGTGACAATAATAAATCAATCTTTTAAAAACTGAATGTGCAACAGTTACAACAGCTGGAGGACAAGCAGGCTTGCAATGGGCAGTGTGTAGCAGGCAAGTGTGCAACAGCAGTGTGTAACAGGCAGATGTTTATAACAGGTAGAAGTGCGTTGGCCATAGATATTGTAGAAGGTGTGTAATGCTGAATATGTAACAGATGGGTTAATGGATGGGTATAATGCAAGTATGTAGCAGTTAGGAGTGTAATAGTTGGGAGTGTAACAGGCAAGGGTGTACAATCAGGCAGCTGTATAACAGGCGGGTGT